AAGCAGCTAATGAATGGCAGGGAGGACTTGAATACAGGTTAGTGTGATACCAAATACCAGAGCCTTAACCACTAGACTTCCTCTGATGTTCTAAGTTCCAGAAGGTTATTTTCAACTGCTGTGGTTTAGATTGTGTGTATCTCCAAAGGGTTCATGGAAAAGATGGAGCCTAATGGAAGGCAATTAAGTCACGGGGCGGGGGGGGGGGTACCACCCTTGGAAAGGATTAATGTAGTTCTCATGGGACTCTGCTCAGTTTCTGGAAGAGTTGGTTTTAGAGTTAACCTGACCCATGCATTCCTCTTACTTCATGTCCCTGCATATGCTCTCTCCATTTTGATTATGTTCTTCCATGATGCCAATCACCATGTTGTGATGCAGCCCAAGAAGCCTTCATCAGAAGTGGAACAGATGGAGCCATCTTATCTTAGATTTTAGCCTCCAAAATCATGAGCAAAATAAACCTCTTATCTTTATAAACTATCAACCTCAAGTATTTTCTTATACCAATACAAAACAAAGTGACATGCCAACCCATTTTGTAAACACATTAGGCACATTATAGTGTGATTTTTATCTATAAATGAAAGTCTACATATTCATATAACTACTTAGTGTTGTTAAGCTTCACAAAGTTTTAAACATTTGATTATTGTAGAAGGCAACGAATCAAATATTAGAGAAAAGCATAAAATGAAAGTCCTTTTCCATCTTTTAGGAATTTTCTATCATTGACTGCTTTTATGATTCTAGGAAATATATGTGTAATGTTTCATTTTTTTAGTTTTAGCAAAGATTTATTTTAGTAAAACAGGGTAAAAGTAGGAAGAAATGGAAGAGAGAATCATAAAGGAAATGGGAAGTAGTGACTCTTATAATGTTTCTTCATTTATAAAATTTAAACCATACCCTATTGACTCTCCAAGATAGCAATGAGGGTTTGTTTTATGAGCACTGCTTCCTCACTTTTCCCTCTACTCCTCTGAAATGATCAACAACAACATATATTTGTTATTGGTTTATTTTGCAACTTAAAAATATACTCAGAGCCAGGCGCTGGTGGCTCACTCCTGTAATCTTAGCTACTCAGAAGCTTGAGGAGCAAGGTTCCAAGCAAGGCTGAGCAGAAAAGTCATGAGACTCATCTCAAATTAACCACCAAAAACTGGAAGTAGAGTTGTAGCTCAAGTGGTAGAACACCAACCTTGAACAAAAAAGCTAAGGGAGAGTGTGATGCTCTGAGTTCAAGTGTCATACTGGCACAAAAAGAAAGGAAAAGAAAGAAGGAAAGGAAAGGGAAGGAAGAAAAGGAAAGAAAGGGAAGGGGATGGGAGGCAAGGTGAGGAGAGGATGGAGAGGAAGAGGGAAGGAAAGGAAAGGAAAAAGGGAAGGAAATGGAAAGACACTCAGATTTCTATTTCCTATAGCATCCATTTTCTGATCCTTTCAATGACTTACTTTGTAAAACAAGGGTTTTAGGGTCATTACCCTTTCTCTGCCTCTTCAAGTTACCACACTGTCAGTTTCATCTTTCCTTCTATATTATCCAAGTTGTTAACAGTTACATTCTGTTCTACAGCCACAACCAAGTCTTCCCTACTTTGTCTCTCCAAGTTGAATCTAATACCTGAGAACCAATAAACAGCATTTACATTATCATGACTATGTAAATATTTTTCAAAATCCAGCTGACTAGTGAGCCAGGAATATATTTCCTTCTCTACAAGTCCAATGTCACAGATCTTTGGGCCTCTCAAAATAAGAGTGTTTCTAAAGTCAAGGTCAAATGCTCTCTCTAATGCTCCATCTGCTGCTTATAATCATATGCTATTTTATTTTGCTTTATATTTGAGCTACAACTTTCTTGTGTAATGGTACACACAGAGTTTCTAATAGCTTTCTCTCTTCCCTTGATTCATATGCCTTTATTATATTCCCTCATTCAACAAATATTCATTGAATATTCACTATGTGCTGAATACCGTTCTGAGAGTTGAAGATAGGGCAGTTAAGAAGACAAATTGAAAACTTGGCTCCCTATGGAGCTGATTCTAACAAGACAAAGAGAGAACAAGAATCAGATAAATAAGTAAAACATATAACAAATTAAAAATGAGTGATTCGATGCTATGGAGAAAAAGCCAGGTAAAAGGTAAGCAGAAAAGGTCAGTGAGGAGGGAAGTTTTAAATAGGTTAGTCAATGAATGACTCAATGAAAAGGTAGCCTATGAGCAAAAGCTTGGATGAGCTGAGAGAGTTAGCCAAGTGGATACCTGGATACCTGGAGAGAACATTCCAAGCAGAAAAACATTCCATGCAAAGGCTCCCAGTGAGGATCATGCATGACATTTTCCCCCACTCCTGGCAATCTGAAGAAAAGTAAGACCATACGTGATGAAGTGAAGGAGGAAGGGGAGGAAAGGAATGAATAAGAAATGAGATTAAAGATAATGAAGTTATCCTAGTTATCCATGCTCACTTAGGGTCTTGTAAGTCAAGGTAAGGTTCACTCACAAAACCGAAGGAGAGATCTGACTTGAATTTTATTTTTGTTGTTGTTGTTGAGTTTGGGTTTATTATTATTATTTTTTGTTTCAGTCGTGAGGCTTGAACATAAGACCTGGGTGTTGTCCTTAAATCTTTGTGTTCAAGGCTAATTCACTACCACTTGAGCCACTTCTGACAATTGGAGATAAAAGTCGGATGTACTTCCCATGATTCTCAGATCTCAGCCTCCTGAGTAGCTAGGATTACAGGTGTAGGCCACCTGTGCCAGCCTTGACTAGAATTGGTTTTTATTTTTTTGGTCATGGGGCTTGAAATCTGGGCCTGGGCGCTGTCCCTCAGCTCTTCAGCTCAAGGCGAGTGTCTACCACTTGAGCCACAGCATCACTTCTGGTTTTCTGGTGGTTTATTGGAGATAAGAGTCTCAAGAACTTTCCTGTCTGAGCTGGCTTTGAACTGCAATCCTCCGATCTCAGCCTCCTGAGTAGCTAGGATTACAGGCATGAGTTACTGGTGCCTGGCTTGACTAGAGTTTTAAAAGAATATGGAGTCAGGCACTGGTAATCTTTCTTTAGCTGTAGGAAATTCACTTCCAATATGTTTTTTTCAAGTTTTCTTTATTTGGTGTGGGGGGTGTCTAGGACTCTTTTTGTTTAAAGGTCAAACCTGCTTGATTGATCTGTAACTCATATTTTCTCTCGTCATTTTCTGTTTCTTAGGTTTTCTTGCCTTATGTTCTGAGAGATTTCCTCAATGCTATTTCCTAGTGTTTCGGTTGATTGTGTTTTAAATTTCAGTAACTTCTTTTCAATTTCTGAGAACTTTCTTTTTTCTGAGTGTTCCTGTTTTAAGGCATCTTGTTCTTGTTTTATGCTGTCATATCTTCCTGAATAGCATTGAGATTATTTATCATTTCTCCTTCTGAAGTTCTCTTTTGTTTCTCAAACTCCCAGAGTGCTCTGCAGTCTGTTGTTCTATTTGTTTATTTTAGTCTGTTGCTTTCAAGCTGCAGGATTCCTTAATTTGCCTAAGAGTCCTTGGGCAACTATTCATCTTCAAGAGAAAGAGCCTGGGGAGCTGATGGACTTTGTAAAATGTCCTCTAGGCTTTGTCCTGGGTAAGTGCTACAGCTGTGTAAGCTCTATGTGAAAAAAAAAGAGAGATTGACAAAGGTTCTAACCACACTAGTGACCCCTTTGTGAACTTCCAAGTACTTTTCTTTCCCCAGACCCACGCCTCAGTCCTCTTCATAAGACCTGTAGGCACTGAGCCCAGAGTACTGAAACTCGGCATCTCCCTGATCCCCGAAACTCCTACCTGTCATCTCCATTCTTCTCTCCAAAGAGACAGAGAGCTATCTATGTATCCCAGGCTGGTACAGACCTCATCATCATCCTGCTTCCACCTCCAGTGTGTTAGGCTGTCTATGGCTGGCTGCCATACTATTATCGTTGCCATGTTCTGTCCAGCTCTCCTCTTAGCAGCTATTTACCAGATATATACAATGTGCCAAGTATTCCAGAAATACAAACTCCTTTTATTTTGCTTTTGTATGTTGGTCCTGGGACTTGAATGCAGAGCCTTGTATGCTAGCTTAGATATTTTTTGCTCAAGGTTGGTGTTCTAACATTTGAGCCACACCTCCACTTCTACCTTTTGGCTGCTTAATTGGAGATAAAAGTCTCGTGAAATTTTCTGCTCAGTTGGCTTTGTGCCATGATCCTCAGATCTTCGCCTCTTAAGTGTGAGCTACCAGTGTCCAGCCTACACCAACTCCTTTCATCTTCACAATTTTACAAAAGAATTGCTATTATTATTTGCATTTTATAGATAAGGAAACTGAAGTTACAGTGAGTGTAGTCAACTTGATTACTATCACAGAATCAGTAAGTACCAGCATTGAAAACTACATTCTCTTTTTGGTCTCTGCTTAATTCTGCCTTCGTCTCTGACTGCTCTAGAGATCATAACTCTGTGGCTGTGGTGCCCCTAAAATGTTATGGGATCCTGAGCTAGTCTCTCCCAGCTTAAGACAAAAGTCAATACCAGAAAGAACTAAGATCATAGGCTTGTCTCTCCAACCTCTCTTTCATCTCTGCTACCTTTTTAAGATGATCAGAGCTGAGTGACCTTTTTTTGGCCCCAGTTACTAAGCTCTGGTGGATGTTTATAGGAAAGAAAAACCCCACCCTGAGCCAACATAGCAAACAGACAGCCCCAGCACTCTGGTATGTTTAGTTTCCATTCATCTTACAGCTGGATGAGGGGAAAAAGGGAGGCATGGAACTGGCCCTTCTCCAGGCAAGATGCCAGCCCCAGCTCTTAGACAATCCTGGTTTGTATGGGCCTCAATGCCACATTCACAGCCCGCTCCACACTTCAGGATGGTCCCTCCCTCTCAAGAGAAGGGATACCTGGAGGTTTAAAAGAGCAAGGGTTTGGAGATCAGCCTTAGACCTTCTGGATGTGAACAGACCCAGACCAGAAGTAGCACCATGTCTGAGTGGAGGTGCCTCATCTGTGTCAGTTTTTTGCTGACATTTCTCCTTGAACTGACATACCAGGGACCCCCTGATCCCTCCTCATCAAGCACAAAGGTCAGTTTGGGGATAAGGGAACAAAGCTCTGGGATATGTGAGAAACTGAGTTCCTTGGGAGGAATATGGGAAGGCATAGTGTGCTTCTTCAATCCGAGGCTGAGAAGCAAGGGCTAGAGAAAAGAAACACTGTTTGCTGAACAAGTGTCAGAACCTGCACTAAGGGTCTAAGATTTATTATTTCAGTTCTCATAGGATCCTTATATGCCAGCCTCTATTATTATGCCCTCTTTGGTTCTTTTTTTTTTGTGGGGTCCAGTCGTAGGGCCTGAACTCTGGGCCTGGGCACTGTCCCTCAGCTCTTCAGCTCAAGGCTAGTGCTCTACCACTTGAGCCACAGCGCCACTTCCAGCTTTTTTCTTTTTGCTTATGTGGTGCTGAGGAATCGAACCCAGGGCCTCAGGCATGCAAGGCAAGCACTCTACCACTGAGCCACCTTCGCAGTTCCTATTATGCCCTCTTTGGAAAGGACTAAAAGCTCAGAGGTTAAAACACAGGAAGTATGAGAATTAGAACTTGAACCTACAGACATCTGATCCCAGATTGCTTCCATTTCTCACTACTGCATATACAGCGAATTAGATATGCATGATTTGTGGGTATATAAATGGATCTGGACTTTGGAAAAGGTGCCAGGTGTTGGTGCCTCACGTCTAAAATCCTAACTACTCAGGAGGCTGACATCTGAGGATCAAGGTTCAAAACCAGCCTGGGCAGGAAAGTTTATAGGACTATTATCTCCAATTAACACACACACACACACACACGTGCACACTCATGCACACACATAAAACACCAGAAGTGGAATTGTGGCTCAAATGGTAGAGCACTAGTCACAAGGGAAAAAGCTCAGGGACTGTGCCCAGGCCCTGAATTCAAGACTCAGTACTGGCACACACACACACACACACACACACACACACACACACACACACACACACCTTCAGAAAAGGTGAGGAAGAAAATCATATACTTGATGGGTTACCTCACAGTTTCTGAGGCTCACGTAACACATTTGTAAAATGTGAACAATTGATAGTATTTAGTTCATGAGCTGTTGTGTGAATTCATGATCATGATGTCAGATGCTTTACATGCTTGGAGTGCATGATTGCACTGAGTATGATCAATTCTTTATGCCTGGGACCTGAAAAAAGAAAAAAAACCTGAATATATCAAGAGTGCCTTGCACAGAGTAAAGCCCAATCAATGGAACTATTCAGCTACATTCTAAAGCCTGGTAAAGTGTCATATCTGCTCTAAAATGAAATCCATGGATCAGCATCTTCTGGGAACTTATTAGAAAAGTAAGATCTCAGAACTGGAGGTGTGGCTCAAGTGGTAGAGTGCAAGCCTTGACTGAAAAAGTTAAGAGTGGAAGGGCCTTAGTTCAAGCCCCAGTAACAGTACAAAACAAAAGTTAAGATTTTAATATTCACTCCAGATGTGCTAAATCAGAATTTTTTCTAGGTACTCGGGAGGCTGAGATCTGAGGGTTGAAGTTCAAGTCCAACATGGGCAGAAAAGCCTGTAAGACTCTTATGTCCAATTAAACCACAAAATAAAGAGAAGTAGAGATGTGGCTTAAGTGGTAGAGCACCAGACTTAAGTAAAAAAGCAAAGAATGAGGCAGGGTGTCAATGGCTCACAACTGTAATCCTAGCTATTCAAGAGGCTGAGATCTGAGGATCATGGCTCAAAGCCAGCCCAGGCAAGAAAGCCCATGACACAATTTTTTTTTTGGTCATCATGGGGCTTGAACTCGAGGCCTGGGCTCTGTCCCTGAGCTATTTTGCTCAAGGCTTGTGTTCTATCACTTTGAGCCACAGTGCCACGTATGGTTCACAGACTTTCCTGCCCAGGCTGGCTTCAAAATGTGATCCTCAGATCTCAGCTTCTTGAGTAGCTAGGATTACAGATGTGAGCCACCTGTGCCTGGCAAACTTTGTAGTACTTTTTTGCTTTCCATGAGACTTTTATCTCCATTTTGTTAAAATCACAGTAAAAAGCTGGAAGTGATATTGCTCAAATGCTGGAGCGCTATCCTTGAGCAATAAGCATCTAGGCCCTGAATTCAAGCCCCAGGACCAGCACCAAAAAAAAGCTAAGAGCCCAGGTCCTGAGTTCAAGCCCCAGTAGTGGTACGCGTGTGCGCGCGCGTGCACACACACACACGCATATAAACACAGGCCTCTGTACAAATACTTCTTCAATTTTATATGTATACAAATCTCACAGCATCTTCTTAAAATGCAGATTCTGGATTTTGAGGGGATTCTTTTTGTTTGGTGTGTGTGTGTGTGTGTGCTGTGCTTACACTAGGGGCCTGGATGCTGTCCCTTAGCTTTTTTTTTTTCTCAAGGCTGGCACTCTATCATTTGATCCATTCATCTACTTCTGGCTTTTTTGGTTGTTAATTGGAGGTAAGAGTCTCACTGAGTTTCTTGCCCAGGCTGGCTTTGAGTCTCAGTCCCCAAGTCTCAGCCTCCTGAATAACTAAGATTATAGGCGTGAGCCACCAGGACCTGGCCCAGAGCTCTTTTGAGTCATCCTCTGCTTTGAGTCTTAGTGAAATATCAAGGAGTTTCACTACATGAACAGAAGGTATCATTTTCCCTCTTTGGGTCTCAGTTTCTCCACATATACTTGGATAACAGTCTGGAAATCTTAGGTCTTCAAGAACAGATGCATCTGGGCCAGAAATCAAGTCTAGCTAACTCACTTCCTGTCTTTTTTCTCTCAGCTGTTGATGACAAGCTATTCCATACGTTCCACTGTGGTGTCTCGCTATGCTCATACTTTGGTCACCTCTGTCCTGTTCAATCCACATCCTGAGGCCCATGAAGCCATCTTTGACCTGAATCTGCCTCGCCTTGCCTTTATCTCCAATTTCACCATGTAAGTCTGCTTCACCTCTTCATTTACCCTTCAGTCATTTGTGCCTACATTTGGGCAATCTTTTATTTGTTCTTTCTGCAGCACGTAGTGATTAAGAGGATATACTCTGAGATCAAGCTTCTTGCATTTGAATCTCAGCTCTGCCAGTTATGGGACTCAGAACACATTCCTTCTCTTCTGAATCTCAATTTTCCATTAAATGGGGGAGAAAATTCAACACACTTGCAAGGATTAAATGAGTTAATATGTGTGAAAATCTATGCTAAAATTAGTATCAGGCACATAATAGGTACTTGACACTATTAGCTTTTTAAAAAATCAAGGAAACAGGCTTCTGAATGTATGATTACACTGTGGTAGGTATGAGTGAAAGAAGAAGGTTAGTTGCACATACTCTCTGCTCCTAAAGTCCAGTCTAATAAGGGAGCCATGAAAAAAGGAAGCAGGTGGTTTAAATAAAGTATGCTAGGAGGAAAGAGAAGAATGGGAATAGTAAGAGGCAGTGGCCAGTTCCCTTCCCCCAGTCAGTTAAAGAAAGCCTTGGATAAAAGACTCCTAAAATGAGGTTTGAAAAAGGAAATGTCCACCAACTACGTATGTGAAGGCAGGGCTAAAGAATCAAGTTGAAGGTATTCCCTCATGAGAATTGTATGTGTATTTGTGTCACTGAAGTCTTAAGGACAAAGGGTAGGAGAGTGGTCAGAAATGAGATTTGAGAGGCAAGGAACCAATAAGCTGTGGACAGCTTCCAAACCTAAAGAGAATACTTGGATATTACTCCCCAAATATATGTGTTTATTAAACCTTATGTTCTATTAAATATAGTACAAGGCAAACAGATTAGATATATTATGAAGCATAGGAGGATAATTGATTAAAGGATGAAGAAAATCTCTGCAGAGTGCTAATTTCTTGATTGGTCTCCAGCCAATCCCCCAGGGGGATGCACACTCCCTTTGGAAATAACTGTAGCCAACAGCGAGGCCACGTGGCAAGGTTTAGAGCAATGAGTGATGGTAGTGAAGTAGGTGGGCTGAAAGGGCCAGCCAGGAAGCTAGGAGACCAAATAAGGAAATAGCCACAGAGTCTGTTTAAGGGATGCTGGAGGCTGGGACAGGATAGTGTGGGGGAGGAGGGGAGATTTGAGAGACCACTGGAGAGAGAAACAACCTGGAACTATGAGAGGAGCAAGCAAATAGACAGTGACTGCCTTTTCTCAGCTTGTCAGACCTGGGAGATAACTTGATCAACCTTGGTTGAGATGAAGGGAAAGCTTAGCAGGGGCCCCATTAGCTAATATGACACCTCAGTGTAAGTTAGAAAGCACTGTCTAGGTTTGGGAATAGCCACTCTCAGACCTAGCAAATTAGCCTAGCCTAGGGAGAATTTCTGCCCTTGCTCAACTGCCTTCACCCCTGTGCATTGGAAGAAGGCCCTTGTGCCATAAACAGCCTACAGCCTGGAGCTGACATTGTGCCAATTAGAAACTTCTGGCCCTGCCTTAAAGGAGGAGGTGATTGGGTGAAGTCAGGATATACAAGACAGAAGCATTGAGGGTAGTCATGGAGGGCTTCCTGGTAGCAAGATTTCCATGGGAGTAAGATTTGAAAGGAACAAGATTATTCCAAGAAAACCAAAGACAAAAACAGAAACAAATCACACACATACCACAAACAAACAAGCAAACAAAAATCCAGGAATGTGATGGAATAGGGAAGCTAACCTGAGAGGTTCGCAGTCACTTGAGGTAAGGGCCGTCACTTGAGGTAAGGGTCAAGTAGTCAGGCAGAATTTGGATTTTTTTGTTTCAATAGAAAACAAACAAACAAAAAAGAAACACCAAAAGAATTTATTTTAATTAAGCAAAGCAGGCTGGAGGAAATGTTCTTGGGCAGAATCTGTGGAAAGTATGCTGGCTAGAGACAGCACACACAGAGGCCCCAGTGTGCTGCTGCCAGAGCAGCTCCACCCGGCCCCCCCCAACCCCCAGGAGACCTTGGGGTCCTGCCAGCTCGGCCCACCCCCGCACTAGCCCAGCCATAGCAACTTCGTTTCAGCTGCCTTGAAATACTCCCTGCTTGAGGGGTCTCTTCTGCCAGCTAGGGATCCTTTCTCCCAGTATTCCTGGAGGAAGAGGCTTATCTGTGCCTCAGTTTTGCTAAATGGAGACAGTTATACTTGACTCCTATAGAGTTGTGCTAATATTCTCTAGAACATCACTCTTTCACTTCTCAGAGGCCACCTCTGATACCCCCTCTACATTTGAGACTTGTTCATGAGTCTCCATTCATCATGGCAAAAAGTCCTTTCTGCCCTAATAAGCTTACTGAGTACTGGGTTCAAAGCCCTTGATTCTCTACCCTTCTCTCCCTGCCCATGCCATCCACTGCTCTGGGTTTTTCTGGCTGGTTGGGATGCCCACTTGGCAAATAATGACTGAGTGCTTCCTGTGGGCCAGACTCTATTCCAGGCACTAAGGATACAGAAACAAATAAAACAGACAAAATCTCCTTTGTACAACTACTTAAGGATAATTTTTAATTAAAAAACCCACAACAATGCCCAGTGCTGGTAGCTCATGCCTATAATCCTAGCTACCATGAGGCAGAGATGTGAGGATTGTGGTTCAAAGCTAGCCCAGGCAGGAAAGTCAGTGAGACTCTTCTCTCCAATTAACCACCAGAAAACAGGAAGTGATGCTGTGGCTCAAAGTGGTAGAGCACTAGCCTTGAGCAAAAGAGTTCAGGTACACCACCCAGGCCCCACAACTGACAAAGTTCAAGCCCTACAACCAACAAAGAAAAAAAAGAAAAAAAAACTTTGCCTTCAAGATGTTCAGTCTTTTAGAGAAAGCAAGACATAAAACAAATAAATATGTCAGTTTGTTAATAAGAAATGCTACCCAAAAATGGAGAGTATAGCAAGAGAGGGGAAGATGTTATTTTAGAGTAATCAAAGATATCTCTCTGAGGAAGCAACGTTTAAACAGATCTGAAGAAAGAGGGTGTGAACACTTGCAAAGATCTGGAGGAAGGAATAGTAGTTGCAAAGGCTCTGAGACACAAATGTACTAAACACATTCAAGAAATAGCAAGGAGGGGCTGGGAAGGTGGCTCAGTGGTAGAGCGCTTGCCTTGCATGCATGAGGCCCTGGGTTCGATTCCTCAGCAACACATAAGCAAAAGAAAAAAGCCGGAAGTGACGCTGTGTGTCAAGTGGTAGAGCGCTAGCCTTGAGCTGAAGAGCTGAGGGACAGAGCCCAGGCCCAGAGTTCAGGCCCAAAAAAAGAAAGAAAGAAAGAAAGAAAGAAAGAAAGAAAGAAAGAAAGAAAGAAAGAAAGAAAGAAAGAAAGAAAGAAAGAAAGAAAGAAAGAAAGAAAGAAAAGAAATAGCAATAATAGCACTAATCACAAAGGCCAAGCAATGGAAACAACCTAAATGTGTATTCACTAATAATAAACATATAAAGAAATCAAATTCTATCCAGCCACTTGTGACAACTTGAATAGAACTGGAGGACATTATGTTAAGTGAAGTAAGCCAGGTACAGAACAATTACCTCATTATTTCATTCTTATGTGCAATCCAAAAAAAATTGATCTCATACAACATCTCATGGTAGTTCTGACTACGGGGTTAAGTAGACATGGGGAAAGGTTTATTGATGGATACTAAGGTGCAGTTAGCCAGGAGGCATAAGCTCTGGGGAATTATTGCAAGTATTGTGACTCCAAATAATCATTATGTACTGTACATTTTTAAAACCAGAAAAAAAGGACCAAGTGCTCATGGCTCATACCTGCAATCCTAGCTACTCAGGACATTGAGGATTAGGGTTAGAAACCAGCCTAGGAAGTAAACTCTTATCTTTAATCAACCACCAAAGAAGCCAGAAGTGAAGCAATGGCTCAAGTAGTAGATTGCCAGCCTTTAGTAAAAAAGCTAAGAGACAGTGCATAGGCCCTGAGTTTAAGCCTCAATACTAGCAACAAAAAAGAAAAACATTAATAGATAAAATAGAGCTAGGATGTATTTCAATGCTATAGTATTTACTTAGTATGCATGAAGATCTGGGTTCAATCCCCAGAATAAGAAAGAAAGGAAGGGAGGGAAGGAGAGAAAGAGGGAAGTAGCAAGGAGGCCAGTTGGCTAGAGCAAGATTGACTAGTAGGGAGCGATGGGATTAAAAACTGAACTATCAGCAAAGTTTACAGTGGGCCTGGTGAGGGGTTTGACTTACACTCTGAGTTGAGATGGAAGTCATAGAATTTTGAGCAGAGGATATACATGGTCTGCTTTAAAGGTAACAAGGTCTTTCTACTGCTTCGAGAAGAGTAAACTATTAGGAGCAAGGGTTTAAAGAGGGAGGCCAGCTTGATTCAGACATATACTAGTTATTGAAAATAAGGGAAACCATGGGACCTATGTTTCTTTGGGCCTGGCTTACTTCACTTAATATAATTTTTTCAAGTCTTTCCATTTCCTAACAAATGGGGCAATGTCATTCTTTCTGATGGAGGCATAGAATTCCATTGTGTATATATACCACATTTTCTTTATCCATTCATCTACTGAGGGGCATCTGGGTTGGTTCCATGTTTTTTCTTTCTTGCGATTGTTTCTAACATATTTATAAAGATGATTTCTTTGTTGCTTTGTATGTCCCTCCCCGACGGTATAAACCCTGTTTTCACTGTATTTGATGTTGGTATAATTTGGGGAGGGGAAGGGAAAAAACAAATTGTTTAAATAGGAATACAAGTGGACCCATTGCAACAATGAGACATACAAGATGTTATGTCGAAAAACGAACTTTACAACTTTGGCACAGGGTGGGGGGATGGGAAGGGATGGGAAAGGAGGAGGCTACAATGCTTGATAAGAAATGTACTCATTATCTTGCCCATGTAATTGTAACCGCTCTGTATGGTATTTTCACAATAAAAAAAATAAAAAATAAAATTAAAAAAGAGGGAAACCAGCTAGTATATTACTGCATTTACCAGGAAAGAAATGTTGGTTGTTATTGTGGGAATGGTGAGAAGTGGAAAGATTGTAACTGTAGTCTAAAGATAGAGCCAATCCCTGATGGATTGGATGTGGAGTGTGAGAGGAAGAAGGGAGTTAAGCATGACTTTAAGATTTTAGCCCAGCAACTATTTCCTGAGATAAGGAAGAGCAAAGAGAAGAGCAGATTTGGGAAGAGGAGACAACAGAAGCAAAGTTTGGGATATATTAAGCTTGAGATGCCAATGGAACATTCTACTGGAGATGTCAAGGAAGCAATTGGATATATGACTTTGGAGTTCAGGGGACAGATCTATCCTAGAGATACATTGGGAGTCAGCTGTGTATAAATAGTATTTAAGGCCATGGGACTTGATGACATCACCTAAGGAGTGAATGTAGAAAAAACAGAGGAGGGGAGGGGAGGGGGGATGAAAAGGAAAGGGAAAGAGGTCAAGAACCGAGATCTAGAGTGTTCCAGTGTTAGAATCAGGAAGAGAAGTAGCTAACAAAGGAGCCTAAGATGGCATGACTAGTGAGGATTACTTACCCAAATCCTCCTATTCATTCAGGCTCAAATCCAAAACCATGTCCTTTAAGACCCTTTCCTGAAGGTTTGGGCAAAAGTATTTTACCCCTTCTGTAAATGTGTGTGTGTGTGTGTGTGTGTGTGTGTGTCTGTGTCTGTGTCTGTGTCTGTGTCTGTGTCTGTGTCTGTGTCTGTGTATGCATGCTGGGCCTTGTACCCTCACTTGGCCTTTTGCTCAAGGCTGTATCTCCACCATTAAGCCACATTTCTACATCTGTGTTTTTGTTGGTTAATTGGAAATAAGAGTCTCATAGATTTTTTTGCCTAAGCTTGCTTTGAACTGGGATCCTCAGATCCCAGCCTCCTGAGTAACTAGGATTAGAGGCATGAGCCACTGAGCCTGGCTATAAATTTGTTTCACAACTAATCATCTTCCTTAAACAAACTGGGAAACTGGAGATAAAGCTTTTTGTCACATGTATCTTGGAGCTCCCTGAGAACAAGGCTCCCTCCCAAGTGAGGTCCAGAGGGCTGTAATAATTTACACACCATTGCCACAACTTTTACCATCATATTCCTTCCCTTAATATGATTTACTTAAATAGATGCACTTAGCCATCCTGGGGTTTGAACTCAAGGGCCTCAGTTTTCCAGGCAGGTACTCTACCACTCAAGCCACAGTTACAGCCCTTTTATGTATTGATTCTTTCGGTCTTTGAATCTTATGGTCTCACATTGCTGCCTCCTATCTATGCCTCCTAAGTAGCTGGGATTATAGGTATGTACCATCCAAACTGACATACTTCTTCAAGAATAAGTTAGTTTTGAACTTTACAACTTCAGGGAGGAGGGAGGAGTTGGGGAAGTGGGGAAGGAAGAGATGGTAGTAGAAAAACAAAGGAGGGGGTAACAATGCTCGATAGGAAATGTATTCATTCCCTTACTTATGTAACTGTAACTGTATAGTATCTTTACAATAATATATATATATATATTTTAAAAGAATAATTTAGTTTTATCCTAAGCAACAATATATATTTTTTAGCACAGAGTCTCACTATGCAGACCAGACTGACTTTGAACTTCCTGCCTCAGTCTCTGAATGCTGGCATTACAGTTCTGCACTATCATGTTCATCCCAATGTTTTGTAATTTTAAATAAATGGTATAACAACTATGGCTCTGTTGGTAAAGCACTAGCTAATGTGCAAAAGCATCATATACCAAGTTCAAGTCCTGGTCTCTGACCTAAATTTTTTTAAAGTGCCAGGTGCTGATATCTCATACCTGTAATCCTACCTCCTATGGAGATTGAGATCTGAGAATCACAGCTCAAAGCCAGCAGGGCAGAAAGGTTCATGAGACTTTTATCTCCAATTAACTACTAAAAAAGCTGGAAGAGAAGTTGTGTCTCAAGTAGTAGAGCACTAGCTTTGAGCACAAAAATTCAGGAAAAGTGCCCAGGCCCAGAGTTCAAGCCCTAGGACCAGCAAAAAAGAAAAAGAAAAAATAATTTAAAAAGAAAAAAGAACAAGGTTTTGTGTACTAAATGGCAGGATCCATTCAACACTTTGAAAAACACAAAGCTAGCTGGGCACTGGTGGCTCATGCCTGTAATCCTAGCTACTCAGGAGGCTGAGATCTGAGGATCATGGTTCAAAGCCAGCCCAGGCAGGAAACTCCATGAGACTCTTATCTCCAATAAACCACTAGAAAACCAGAAGTGGCACTGTGTCTCAAGCAGTAGCACACTCACCTTGAGCTGAAGAGCTGAGGGACAGGGCTCTCAGGCCCAGAGTTCAAGCCCCATGACCAACAACAACAAACAAAAAACACAAAGCTCTAGTGCCAGATCCACCAGATGTTAGGTGGGCTCCATTTCCCCATATGACAAATGGATATCATAATAACAACTGCACCCTATTTTATCTCCCCCCTTCTCTTCTCCTGCTATATTTTTTATTTCTCTCTTCTAATCCCTATTCTACCTCTTCTCTTCCTTTGTATATATTTTTTTCTATCTCTCTGAACATCTTTTTTATCCCTTTCTGTCTCTACTGTCCCTTTTCTTTTCTGCTCCATCAGGACCATCAACAATAAAGTCTATGTTGCAGAAATCAAAGAGAAGCACCAGGCCAAGAAAATTTATGAGGAAGCTCATAAGCAAAGAAAGACGGCTGCTCATGTAGGCATTAGGTAAGGTTCCATCAATCTGAAATATGACCAAGTCATCTTATCTGAGTGTCCAGGGGAGATACATGTTCTCTCTGGGTCTCAATGTCTACTTTTATAAAGTGTTGGTGGGGAGACAATAAAGTTGCCTTTATAGGCTTACATGTGATCATGTGAGTTTGTGAATATCAAAGTGTGCAACCAGTAAGTGTTCAATACATGGGAATTAATGTCCCCATTTCCATTTTTATGTTGATTAGCCTAATGTGGCTTGTTTAAGTATTGGCACCTCCTGGAAAGGTTATGTGCAAGTGAGATTTTTTTTTTATTCTAAATTGAGTCTTGTTTCCTACCTAAGTTCTATTCACTTGTCAAAAGTGGCTTGTCTTCTTTCAATGTTTCCTCTCAACTTCCAAGAGAGTTTGGACCTGCAGGAAAACTTCAGATTTGGCTATTGCAAACTGAGTTACTGCCACATAAACAAGCTTCAGTCTATCACATGGGGCAAGAGTGGGTGCACAGAGTTGTTTGAAGGGTAAGGGCATTGTGTTAAAAAAAAAACAACTCCTTTCACAAACTGAAGCATTAGCCCCTAGTTCTTCTGTTCTAGCTCCAGATTTTCACAGTTTCCTTGAGAAGGAGCAACCTTTGAGAGAATTTCTCAGTAGGGGAAATGAATGAGGAAAACAGGTTAGGGGTGAATGTCTACAACACTTGACTGTAGGGTCAGGCATTTGGTTGAAACAGAAGCTTGGCCTGGTCTTCTGGTTTGAAGCAAAAACATCTCCTAACAGCTCTTCTACTTCTCAGGAAATCCAATGCTCTTCTCACTCTTATTCCAGGGACCGGGAATCAGAGAAATTCCGAATCTCTACTAGTCTGGCAGCCAACACAGAAGTGATATTTGCCCTATCCTATGAGGAATTGCTCCAGCGACAGCAAGGCCGGTACCAGTTGGTGGTGAGCCTGAGGCCTGGTCAATTGGTGACAAGGCTGAGTGTAGAGGTCACAGTGTCAGAAAGAACAGGGATCGCTTATGTGCATGTGCCACCACTGAGGACGAGCCGGCTGCGCACCAATGACCATGCAAGTATGTGGGCAGAGTGGTCAACCACCTTACTGGCTATCCCTGAATAGGAACTTTGCCCTTTCCACAAGGCTACTCACATTCTTTGCCAACTTCCTTCCCAACTCAGAGAGAGGAGAGCATGCGAGAAGTAGAAGATATTTGGGGTCTAACATCTGGCCAGTCATTGGCACCAGTATGAACTTGGCACGTTATAAACCAACCAAGGCTTGATATATCCATCATTAAGAGGAGTCAGATTAGGAAAAGGGCTGTTATTTTAATACAATGAACTCTTGAATTTAAAAATGTAAGGGGGGGCTGGGAAGGTGGCTCAGTGGCAGAGCGCTTGCCTTGCATGCCTGAGGCCCTGGGTTCAATTCCTCAGCACCACATAAGCAAAAAGAAAAAAGACAGAAGTGGCGCTGTGACTCAAGTGGTAGAGCGCTAGCCTTGAGCTGGAGAGCTGAGGGACAGCGCCCAGGCCCAGAGTTCAGGCCCCACGACCGGACCCAAAATAAATAAATAAAGGAATGAATAAATAAATAAATAAAAATGTGAGGGTGGCAGCAGCCAGGCTGGCAGAAGCCTGCTTTGCCCTGGAACCCCCATGGAGGGCTGAAGGAAGATGGGCAGGCAGGGAATGCAGGCTGCTCTGGAGAGGCCACTGCAGGCCCTGTGGGCACAGAGCCATCCTGGCTGCCAGGCTTACAGCTGGGGTCAGAGGGCGGGGAGGAGCCCAGCAGTGCCGGTCCTGAACCAGCGCAGGTGAACCTGAGGCCCAGCCAGCCCCCAGACCTCAGCACCAAACACAGCTCCCATGAGAGCTGAGGGACAGCACAGGGGTGTGCCAGCCCCCATGGCCACCCTCCCGAAGCTCTGCAACACTGGGCGCCCTGGCTAATTTGACCCTGCTGACCAGACAGGCAGTGGGGAACACACAGTGCAGAGAGACAGACACACAGACCAGTTCCCATCCCTGCTAAAGTGGGGCCATCACAGCAAGTCAGCCCATTGCTCTGTCTCTCCTTTCCCATCCATAAGAGGGAGTTGGGTGCAAGAGATGTCACCTGTGGCCCAGGACCAGGAGGAGAACTAGATAACAATGCGCCCCAAATTTATGGTGCAGAGCAGTGGATACTGCATGCTGGCCTTCAGAGCGAGTGCTATTTGGCACTCACAAGATGCACAGATTCGCACATGGGCCATCCATGGGCCTGCTGGAGCTTCATGCCCACATGGACTGCCTGGGAAGCAGGAGACATGGTCAGTGCTAGGCTATGGACAGGGAGGCTGGGGGTGGGAGGGAGGGATGGCCGGTCCAGGGCCTCAGGGCAGCAGCAGGGACCTGGGCCCACAGGCCATGTGAGTGCTGCAGCCTCTGCTCTTAAGCCCTAAGCTAAAAATGGCAGCTCCCTCCCCCTTCTCCTTAAAGGTTGAAAGAGAGGAGAGAAGCAATCCTGAGGGGATCAAACAAAACAAAGACTTCTGGAAGGAAGGAAGCCCAGGGAATGTATGTCAGCAGGCGCTCAGGAGTATGGGGCTCCCTTTGCCCCTAAGCTTCCTGACAGCTGTAGCAGGAAGGAGGGGGAGCAGAATTCCCAAGTCTCCATTTTCTGGGTGGAGGGAGGGAGGGAGGCCCAGAGAGAGACATGTCTAAATGGACGCTTGTCATGGACTCAAATTCCAGAGCAGTTGCTCTTGTGGCCAGCTCAGCAAACTTCCGGAACCAGCAAGTCACCAGTGATTTCATGAGCCACTAAAAGGCTCATTCCACATGTGATGCTGGGAGTGAGAGGCAGAGGGGAGGAAAACACATGCAACCCCATCCCAGAGGGAAACCTTGCTGCACTGCTGCTTCCCACAGTCAGGAGGGGGATGGGAGAGACCCAGGCTTGGATGTGTGTGTGTGTGTGTGTGTGTGTGTGTGTGTGTGTGTGTGTGCCTGCCCCTGTCCTCACACCCAGCATACTACCTCTCTGGGAGGAGACTCAGGCTCCTAATGGACCTGAGGACTTACTTGCCAGTGGTGTGGAGAGTGGCCAGGTTGGATGGATAGTGGGGCAGGGAGAGGTTGTGAGTGAGAACAGACTTCCAGGGCTGGGGCCGAGGGCAGAGCTTGGTGTGTGAGGCAGGGGAGGCAGGGGGCAGAGCAGGAGCAGGCTGCAAGGTTTGGGGCAGAGCAGGAAACTGGAGCAGGTGGAAGGGCCCAGAAACCAGAGAGAACTGCAGGTGATGGGAGGGTTCCCCTTCTCACCCTCCGCACCAGTTGTCCCTTTAGCTGTCCTCACCTGTGGCTTTTCTGTGGGCTGAGCCCTCCAGGCCACCCCACTGTGACCTTCCCCAACCTTCCAGGTGAGGCTGACTCGCCCCCATCCACCAGGATTGAGAGAGGAGAGACCTGTGTTCGAGTCACCTTCTCCCCAACAATGCAACAACAGTCTGCTTCCTCCAGCTCAGGCATCATGGCTGACTTCATAGTCCAGTATGACGTGACCATGGAGGACATCATTGGGGACGTGCAGGTGCGGCCTCAGGGTAGTGGATTGAACTTGGATCTGAGCAATGTGCTGGTGTGGACAAGTTGTCTATCTGAGTTGTGTGATCAGGGTAGAAAGATGTGTAAAGACACCTGGCTTCACACACCTATGAGTAGCCCAAATGGCAGGACACCTGGGACTGTAGAAACTGAAATCAGGTGTTCATATACCGACCTTAATGTGGCAAGCAGTAGCCCATTCTGTAGCATCCTTAGTCTGGGAGGCGGGTGGGCCAGAGGCACTGATATTTCCATGCAGTTTTTGTTTCTTGATTTATCTGTTGTTGTTGTTTTGTCAGTCATGGAGCTTGAACTAAGGTCTTGGTCACTGTCCCTGAGCAACTTTTATTCAAGGATAGCACTCTACAACTTTGAGCCACAGCTCCACTTCTGGTTTTCTGGTGGCTAATTGAAGATAAGCATTTCATGGACTTTCCTGTCAAGGCTTCATTTGAAGAGTGATACTTAGACCTCAGCCTGCTGAGATCTTAGTATCTCAGGTAATGGCCCATTACAAGGGTTTCTAAAAGGCCCTCTCTTCACTTAAGCCATGTGCCTTCAGTTCTGAATTAGTGAAGACAGTGAGGAGATTCTATGCTTCTTGGGAACAGCTCAGCTCACCAGGGACCCAGGGCTCCTGGCTAGAAGAGAAGGAGGATAAGGAGGAAGTAGTGGAGGACGGAGCCTGAGAGGTCTGCTCTCACCCCCTTTCCCTCCCACTTTCCTGATACAAGCTAATCTCCTCACACTTCCCAACCATTCTATGCCTTTCTCCACAAGCACTCCTCACATATGGGCAAGCTTGCTCAGAGTAGCAGCTTTCCTAAGTGTGCCTTCTTCCTCCTTCCCCACTGGCTAGTACACTCCTCTTTTGTAATCCTGCCTAAGCAAAGGAAATATATGTGGCAGAGTATGAAAGGGTCTAATAGAAGGAAGATTTCCTCAAAGACTTGGCCTTGGGAAGAAATGAGTAGGACTTTCTGATTCTGTGCACAGAGTGAAAGGAAAAGCATGCTGAGATAGGGAACAGCATATGCAGAGACACAAAGATGTAGCAGAGCCTCAAGGAGGAATGAGTGGAACTTCCCTCTCCTATGAGCAGGTTGGGGGGGGGTACCTTGCCAGCAGGTGGCATCATCTAGTGCACTGCCAGGTGGGTGTGTTTTGTTCATGGAGGCAGAGTCAGGGGCTTCCTTCTTTACCTTTTCCACAATTGCCTAGAGAGGAAATGTAGATAGGATCAAGCTTTGTCAAGGTAGGATTGAACATAAAAAGCACACTCAACGCCCCCACCCTCAACTGACTGTGCTGCCATCCCCCCTGGGGCCCTGAGCTCCTGGCCCACTTCCTGTGTGGCAGGGAGGCTTATCTGTCAAATGCCCCACCTCCACCCGGGCCTTCACTCAGTCTCCTGTCTCTGTCATAAACAGGGCTGCCTGACACTGAAGGAAATCCCACCTAGGTCCACTTCTTGCCTCTTGGTAAGGGCAGGGTAGACACTGACTGGAGCTAGTGACATGCCTTTTGCATCACAGACAAGATGGGGTGGAAACCAAAATAAAGGGAATTAAGAGGATCAGGGACTGCTTTGTGGCCATCAAGGGACTTTGAAAGTACAAAGAAATGGCGCTTGTGAAAGGCTCTGAGGGCAGGGAAAGCCCCAGAGCCGAGATGACTGCTGGATGACAGGGAAGTGGTTGAATCTTGTCAGACCTATGCCTGGCTTCCACTGTGTCTGGAGAGTGAGGAGGATGGATTTAAAATACAATACAGGAGGTGAGCGAAAATGAGGTGACACAGAATTCTGTGGAATCACAAAGTGGCTGGATTGTGTTCTATAGGTGAAATGACACTGCAATGCCTGTGCAGTTGTTGTAAGCAGTTGAGAGGGAAGACCGGCACTGAGCCAGGGAAATTTAGGGAAGTGAAGGCTGAGTCTGAGCAGGGTTTCCTCAGAATGAGCAGCTCAGCACCCCACAAAGTGTGCAAGAGCAAAAAGCAACAGGAGGGGCTAGTTGACTTGCCAGGGCACAGGAGATCTAAAGGTGACCCTCAGGACTGGGGAGCAGTGAGCCTGGGGATGGTGGTGCCTGGCATGAAAATAACATACAATGGATGCAGGCCTGGTTCAGAATAATGATCCAGCCTAGCTGAAGGTGACACTCAGGTATGGAGAGGAGTGAGCCTCGGGTCAGAGGTGGACTGTATGAGAATAATGTATAAGCAGGGCACCAGTGGCTCACAGTAATTCTAGCTACTCAGGAGGCTGAGATTTGAGGATCACTGTTCAAAGCCAATACAAGCAGAAAGTACCCATGAGAATCTTATCTCCAAGTAACCACTCAGAAATCAAAGTGGAGCTATGGCTCAAAGTGGTAGAGTGCAAACCTTGATTGAAAGAGCTCAGGGACGGTGCCAAGGCCCTGATTTCAAGTCACACAACCCTAAACAACAAAATAATAATAATAAATAACATACAAAGAGTTGGAGGCCTTCCCTCTAGCCTAGACACCCAGAATCCAATAGTTCAAAGCATAGTACCTCCAAAAGAAAAACAAAATATAAACAGAAAACACACAAGGACTTCAGGGATGTAGACTATGCATATCCTCTTTGTCCAGGTGCCAGTAAGTCATCTTCAACCCTCCAGTTAAACAGTCCAGAATATGTGGGGAAGTGGGACATATAGGTGCCTAGACAGGGGAGGGAGACATTGCGTTACTAGTGGTGATATGAGGTACAACACAAGACAGTCACTGAGGTCATGCAAGGAAGATAAGGTCTTGATGGCAACAACTCCAAGGTAACCCCAATTCCCACAGTCATTGACTTCAGGCCTTAGTAGGTTCCACTACCTGCAGACAACTTGCTTAGAGAGCTAAATCCGAAGAGCTGATGGTCTCAGCGTCTCAGGACCAAGGCCTTTGGAGAAAATGGGAGCCCAAGTCAACTGTCACCTACAACACAAAGATCATCCTGGGGAAGGTCCACACATGAGCACAATGAGTTTGGAGACATGCTAGTCGTCTTAGTTACCTTTGGTGAGAAGTGGAACAGGAGGTGGAATGACCCAGAGGCTTGCAGGTTCAACAGGATTGAACTGGAGGTGAGACAGTGGCAACCCTGATTATTCTTAGCATGGATGCCGTGGACAGCAAAAGACCCTAGTTACAAGTGAGAAGAGTCCAGTGCCAGTGGCTCACACCTGTAATCCTACCGACTCAGGAGGCTGAAATCTGAGGTTCATGGTTCAAAGCCAGCCCGGAAAAGGAACATCTGAGAGACTCGTAAGTCCAATGAACTACCAAAAAGCTGGACATGCAGCTGTGCCTCCAGTAATAGAGTGACACCATTGACCAAAAGAGTTCAGGGACAGTGCCAGCACCTGAGTTCAAGCCTCAAGACCAGCACAAAAATTCAAAAAGTGTCTGGGTGGTGGTGGCACACGCCTACTGTAATCCTAGCTACTCAGGAGGCTGAGATCTGAGGATCATGGTTCAAAGCCAGCCTGGGCAGCTAAGTCCATGAGACTCTTATCTCCAATAAACCTCCAGAAAAACAGAAGTGGTGCTGTGGCTCAAGTGGTAGAGAGCTCACCTTGAGCTGAAGAGCTGAGGGACAGCGCCCAGGCCCAGAGTTCAAGCCCCAAGACTGACCAAAAAATTCAAAAAGTGTGAGGAAACTGGGGACAGGGGGTTGTAGACTTGGATGGTAAAGATGCCTAGTGAAGAACATCCTATGGGTGGGTGCTGTGGGAGGTGCTGAGTGGGAGACAGGAGGCAGAGCATGCCGCCCGAGGGAGAGGGCAGAAGGCACTTGTGGAGCTGCCTGGCACTAACCAGAGGGAAAAGGCTCTGGCAATGGCTACCCTACCCAACTTCCGGTGGGTTTTGTGCCCATGGGAGGAGCTACACCTTTCACCTTCCCTCTGGCAGGGTGTGGATGGGATGAGCACACTGAGGAGGGCTGGCCAGTGTGTCCTGCCCCAGAGGAATGGGCTCACAGAGGAGCTGGGCCTGGAGAGAGCAGGGGCAGGGCCGCGTGGCAGGGCTTCCCCAGTTGCCACACACCCAGGTCTGACAGGCACACAGGCTGCCAGTTGGATGCTGCTCATGGCCCGGGCAATGGCAGGCTGGCTGGTAGAGGCCTTGGGGAACTGGGATTGAGTGCTAGGATTGGGTGGAAGCACAGACCTCCCATCCACAGGCCACGCTTGGGAGTCAGAGGAAGCAGGAAGCCACCATGTGCTTCCACCTCCTCTGTTCCCCTGATGCAGGAGGCAGCAGGGGAGAGCCTGGTGATCTCAGCTGGCCCAAGGGCAGAGAGGAGGATGAACTGTTTCCCTGGGCAGAGAGAACTGCTGCAGTTCCTTCAGGCTTCAGGCACAGGCTTCAGGGGAGCCCAGGGCCTCAGCAAGCCCAGACATCAGTGGGCTGAGCTGACTCTGGTCCTGAGGGGCCTCCCAGCCCCCTTCCCTTCCCTCAGCTGGCCCAGCCCCCAGGCTTTGCAGAGGGAGAGGGAGAGGGAGAGGTGGAGGGGGCAGGGGGCCAGTGGCCAATCACATCCAGGACAGCCCCAGGCATCTGTACCTGGTGCAACCAATCCCCTCTGTACAGACAGCTCAATTGGCCTCTGCTGCCTCCTCCTCTCCCTGCTCTGCCCAGCAACAGCAGAAAGGAGGTTTGAGGGGGAAGAGGGAGGCCCTGCAGACTCCCAGCCCTTGGCAGCAAGGAGCTGGGCCCCAGGCTCATTCTATGGAGGGAGGTTAAAACAATACTTGGAGTTCCTGGAGCCCAGGCAAACGTCCCTGGGGGACCCTCAAGACTGTGTAAGCCCAGCTCTCTCACGGACAGGAACTCACATATTACAGAGATCCTGGTCCTTGGAGCCCTGGGCCACAAGCCAGTCTTCTTCACTCCACAGCTCTGGGCAAGGCCTGGGATGGAGGGCTGAACCGCCAGCAGAGACACAGCTCTGGTGTGGGAGACAGACATGAGGCAAACCTCCACACACATGGCCACTGAACTAGAAGCAGGGATGCGTCCTGGGAAGGAAAGTGCAGGCTCTTATGGGCGAGAGGCAGAGGGTCTGGTTTACATTGTCTCTCACCCTTCTTCTTCCTCTTGGTTTCCCTTCTGTTTGTCCAGATTTATGGGGGCTATTTCATTCACTACTTTGCCCCCAGGGGCCTCCAGCCTGTGGAGAAGAACGTGGTGTTTGTTATTGACGTGAGCGGCTCCATGTTTGGAACCAAGATGAAGCAGGTACCAATGACCCTGCGGGCCTTCCTAAGTCCTGCCGTTATATTCCCAGGCCCACAAAGCAAAGAGACAGACAAGGACAGACAGAGACAGAGAGGTGGCACAATGAATGGGACCAGAGACCCCACCCTCACCCTGAACCAGAGACCTCAGCCTCTCTCAGCCTCTCAGAGCTCATGAACTGGGCTCTCCCTAGGGACCTAGTGCCCTACCTCATGGCAGCCACACTTCCTGGAGCTACAGAATCAGAGGAACATTGAAACATGGATCTCTTGGGCTTGAAAGCACTAAGAGTTTCAGTCCCACTTTTCCAGGGCTTGATGTGTCTCCAGTTCATTGAACCTTCAAGACAGAGAGCCCTGTGATCATAGAATCCTGATCCAATGTGACCTTTAGGAATGATGACTGATTCTTCTGGATGCCCTATCCCCTAGGGTTTATGTTAATTGTATTTAAAATCTAAAGCCCTGATATTCTAGGATGCTGAAATTGTAGCATTTGAACTCCTGCAGTTCTGGGGCCCTGTATTTTCTCCTTGCAACACTCCTATCTCTGAGCCTTGAATCACTAGTTTCCCTGCCCCTTGTGTGTCAGTCATGGAGTTCTAGAAGCTGCATTTCCATCCAGAATGCTCTCAGCCCTGGAGAGCTTAGGCTAACTAAGCTTTTTTTTTTTTTATGACTCAACCAACGTGTGGTCTCACAGGAAGTGTCTCAAATGAGCTTGAGTGCAATGGGAGGGCCAGATCCCACTCAAGCCCTTTGCAGTCTTTCCAACTTACTCAGGTGTGTAGGGGTCAGGATCCCTGGTGTAGGTCATCTCACAGGAATACTAGCTGGATGAGGGCCTGAGCCCCAGCCTCAGAACTGCAGAATGCTTTCTCTCCCCTAGTCTTTAACACTATGCTAGCCTGGCTCCTCCACGGTATGTGGGGGATACAGCTCAGTGAAGTTTAAGACAAAAATTGAGGGAATTATTACCAGTAGCTGTATTTCCAATAAATATTATTAGTTCTTCAGCAAGCAGGTATATTTACCTGCTTATCAAGTACATGTATATATATATATATATATATATATAATTTATATATATATATAATTTATATATATATATATATAATTTAATGAAACTTTTAGAAACTGAATAATTGAATCTAAAACAAAAATTAGATTTTTGTTATCTTATGTGACATAATTCCTGAAGATAGTAATAATGATGTTTTCAGCAAACATAGTTTAGGAATAAATTCAATTCACGAGAATGGTGTTTTAAGAGAGGAGAGGGGAAAATACGCTTTTATAATATATTCACCCCGTGAATCAAGTGGTATTTTAAAGCAGACTTGGACACGTTGTAAACCCACATTGTAAACTTGATTTGAACCACTAAATGTTTTTCTCTAAGCATAGTGGACACACTGAGATAAGAAAGTATGTAGTCATATGAAATGCTCAATTAAACTTAGAGAATTCAGAAAGGGAGTGGAAATAAAAAAATAAGAGCAACAAGTAGTTTTAAATATTACAAATATTGATCCATCCATATCAGTAATCATTTTAAACATGACTGTCTTCGATATGCCAATTAAAAGACAGTTTTAGCACTGATAATAATACAAACCTCAGGAACTGGTTATGAGGCTCAAGTAGCAGAGCATCAGCCTTAAGCAAAAAAGTCAAGTGTGAGTACAAGGTCCCAAGCCCCATTACTGGCACAATAAATAAATAAATACTATTTTAAAAGTAATAAAATAAACCCCATTAATATGTTGTGTCTATGAAATATACATATAATGTAAGTTATATATAATACACACATATATAAATAGAAAGACAATATAGAATAAACATAGAGGTTTACTGAATATTATACCATGTAAACCCAAATCAAAACAAAGCTGAAGGGGGTATTTTTGATAAAATATACTTCATGGAAGGAAATTATTAGAAATCACATTCACAATATTTTGTCAAAAGAGTTCAAGTCTCCAAAAAGACATAATAAACCTCCATCTGTACGCACTTAATAACAATACCAAAACTCCTGAGGTAAAAATTGGTAGAATGGAAAGGAGACATACACAAACCCAAGATTATAACCGGAGACTTCAGTCCCCCTCTACCAGTAAATAATGGCAACAAAGGAAAGTAGCTCTGTTGGCAGATCCTATAGGCAGATAATCAGTAATACATAGTCAACCTAAATATGACCTTCAACTACCAGGACTGAATTGACATTTGTAGAATGCTTCGCCTGTCAACAACAGCATACACATTCTTCTCAAGCCCACATAGATCATTTACCAACAGACTGCATTGGGGATCACAATCTACACCTGTGCAGGTTTTTCATCACTCTGACAAGTACTTAAAAGAAACAATTGAAAAACGAGGAAGGATATATTCTGAGTCACAGTTTTAGAGGTTTCAGACGATGGTCAGGTGGCTGCACTGTTTTTAGGCCTGTGGCAAATTAGAAATATCATAGAGGAAGAACATAATGCAGGAGACTTATATACCTCACGACATCCCGGAAGCAAAGAGAAGATAGAAGGGCCCAAGGACAAGTTGTACCCTTCATGAGTTCATCCCAGTGACCTACTTCCTCCAGTGAAGTCCCACCTTCCACAGCTTCACAACCTGTCAATAGTCTACTAAAATATTGTTTTAGTAAACTAGTGTGCCAGTACTGCCACCTGAACTCCAGTTCTTGTGCTATAGCTTGACTATTCTGCTTGAGGCTAAAGGTCTACTACTTGAGCCACAGCTCCACTTCTAGCTTTTTGATGGTTAATTGAATATAAGAGTTTCATAGACTTTCCTGCCCAGGCTTACTTTAACTGTAATCCTCAGATCTCAACCTCCTGAGTGATGAAGGATTACAGGCCTGAGCCACTTCTACTCAACAGTCTACTCAGTGCTAATCTATTCTGATAGCACTTCACAGACACACTCAGAGACATGTTTTACTAATCTCCTAGTTGTCTCTCAATCCAATCAATCAGATTAACCATCAGTGCACCTTAACAAATCTAAAACAGCATAAGTCATGCAAAGTGTACTCTCAGACTAAGTAGAATTAAACTAGAAATCAGTAACATAAAGATAGCTTGGAAATTTTAAAAGCAATTGGAAATTTTAAAAAATTAAACCACATAGTTCTAAAAACATAATGTATCCCTGGTTGACATCTTGACATCGTGTCTGACTTGTAGACTCCCATGGCTCCCACTTTTCTACTTCTGCTCTAAGGAAAAACCATTCTCTTAAGTCTCAGACCTCTCAATGGAAATAAGAGTATGGTACACAGCTCCCGATTCCAGGATAGATTTTTCCTATGACAAGAAAGACTCAGATCACCTTCGAAGCATTCAGGCATTGCTTACCAATTTAAGGTATAGAGAAAGGTATAGAGAAAGTGAGTTTCAAATGTCCTACAGTCTCTGAAATTCATACCTTTCAAAATGACTGAAAGTAAAACACTGTACTTATAACTATCACTGGATTTAAAACGTTTTAAATTTTAGTCTCTAATTTATCATCTGTCAGCTATGTGAATCTGAGCACGTTACACCACCTTTGTGAGACCCTGTTTTATTGCCTATAAATAAGGATATTAGTGACTTCTTTGTTGTGTTTCTGTAAGGATTAATTGTGCTGATATGTCTAAAGTATTTAGTACAGTATTTGGAACATAGCAAGTGTTCCACAAATTCTACCTAATACTAGAATTTACAAACCTGATTCCCTATTCTAAGCAGTGTCATGGAGAAGGAAGATAGGAAGAAGACTTATTCTAAGTCCTGTTCTCAGAGGCCTTGATATGTGGCTACATAGTGAAAATATGCCACACAAGACTGTCAGTAAACAGTCTGGGACAAGGGATGTCTGGGTGAGAAGGATGAGAATAGGAAATTCAAGGAAGAGATAGATGATAGATAGATAGCTAGATAGATAGAGAGATTGTAATAGATATAGATAGTTATATATCTATCTCTATCTATATATCTATGTATCTATATATAGATATAACTATATATCTCTTTCTCTAGATATACATACATATATATATATATATACATATATATAGAGAGAGAGCTGAAGGTAGACAGAGATAAATGCTCTACTACCTGAGCCATGTCTCCAACCCCATGAAGATACATATTTTTAAAGTGAGACAGTATTATATTAAAATGGCACAAGATTGAAGTTGTAGAGGTAAAGTGGAATCTTGGTTATCTGAGAGCTGGTGAGAATATTCTCCTGGAAGAAACAATATGAGGATAAAAAGTAAGTTAGAGGAGAACCAAAGCATGCCAAGTTATTGTGAGGCAGCTACAGAGACCTGGAATCATAAGACACTCAAACTTTAAATTCTTGAATCCTAAGCAATTGGGTCTGGACCCATAAAACACAGCACTCTTTAGTTCAAATAAACATAGATATAGACTACTTCTGTACAGAAGAACTTTCCTCTTTTTTTCTGTTTTGAGACATGGTAGCCCAGGCCTACAACTCATGATCCTTCTGCTTCAGCCTCCCCTATGCTAGAATTACTTACAGGTGGGTGCCACCACACCCATCTTTAGTACAACTTTCTATTTGCTTTCATATTTAAGAAGTTTTTTATTAATCTGCTTCAGCTTTGGGGGATACATTTGTTACTTTTTTACAATAATGTTCTATCTCACAGTCACAAAACTCAGTCTTGCACACACGCACGCACACACACACACACACACACTCACAATTAAATGGATTACACTTAATTTTTTCTCCTAACCCTTTTTGTTGCCAGAGCCTGGGCGCTGTCCTTGAGCTTTTTGTGCTCAAGGCTAGTGTTTTGCCACTTGAGCCATAGTTCCAACTTCTGGCTTTCTGGTGGCTTATTAGAGATGAGTCTCATGGACTTTCTTGCCTTAGCTGATTTTAAGCATTGATCCTCATATCTCAGCCTCCTGACTAGCTAGTTTTACAGACATGAGCTACCGATGCCTTATTGTTTTGTTATTTTTGAAACAGTTTCAATATATAATCCAGTCTGGCCTAAACTCCTGGTACTGTAGCCTCAGCCTCCTGAATGCTGGGATTACAGGCATTTGAAACCACACCCCTATTCTTCTGTTTATTTTGAAAGAATTTCAAACATTCTACTAGAATTTCCTTGATGATTACAATGTTCTCAAATTATGTGTCATCTACTACAGCAGCCACTGACCTAATACTATTGAACACTTAAATGTGAAGAAGAGAATTTTCAAATTTTTCTTTCACTAATTTACATTTCAATTTAAATAGCTACATGCGGCTAGTCACTGCCATGTTGAATGGTGTAGTTTTAGTCTTTGGACCAAAGAAATCCAGGGTATTTGGATTTGCTATTCTAGACTCCGAATGATGGAGTTAGATAGTCTTAAAGCCATCAAACAGACCTTAGTGCTTTGAATGGAAGGAGCTTTTCAAACTCATAGACCTCAAGTCTTGTCTCATCTTCTTTACCTCATCAATTCCCCCACAGACTAAAAAAGCCATGAATGTGATCCTCAGCGAACTGCGAGCGAATGATTACTTCAACATCATCTCCTTTTCTGACACAGTTAATGTCTGGAAAGCTGGAGGCTCTATCCAGGCCACTACCCAGAATATTCACAGTGCCAAAGACCACCTGAGTCACATGGAAGCAGATGGTTGTAAGTGTTAGCCCTATTTAGCCATATGGGCAGGGTGTGGGGAATTGGGGGAAGTTCCCAGAATCTTTTCTTCATTTCCCCCAGCCTCCTTACTTCTCACCTGGCCAGAAATGTCACTATTACAGATTTTACACAAACATGTCCCTATATCCTCTGGATTTCCTTCCCAATTCTTTGTCCTGTGGGAAGAGCATGATTGATTCTCCATGTATATTAGAGCACATTTCTCTTTGGGTCTGAGTTTCCTCTTCCTTAAAGCACTTAGCTGGGTACCAGCGGCTCTGGTCTGTAAATCCTAGCTACAAACTGGCTAAGATCTGAGGATGATGGTTTGAAGCCAGCAGGGTAAGACAAATATGAAGAGACTCATCTCCAATTTACTAGCAAAAAGCTAGTAGAGGTATGGCTCAAGTGGTAGAGTTCCAACCTTGACTAGAAAAAAGTAAACTGCTAAGAATACAAAGCCCTGAGATCAAGCCTCACTACTGGCACACACAAGCACATACCCATAAAAGCAAACACAAAAGAATTTGCTGAAACTTTTAAATTCAATAATCTACATTGTATATGTGTATGTTTGTTGTGTGTGTGTGTATGCTATTCCTGGGGCTTGAACTCAGGACCTAGGTGCTATCCTTGAACTTTTTCAGCTCAAGGGTAGCTCTCTACCACATGAACCACAGCACCACTTCTAGCTTTTTCTAAGTAGTTTATTGGAGATAAGAGTCTCAGGGACTTTCTTTTCTACGTAGTTTATTGGAGATAAGAGTCTCAGGGACTTTCCTGCCTCAGGCTGATTTTGAACCGTGATCCTCACATCTCAGCCTCCTAGGTAGTATTAAAGGTGTGAGCCGCTGGCACACAGCTTAATAATCTAAATATTTATTTCCAAACTTTTGATCAAGTTGCTGCCCTGATTCCAGCTTTTGATCAACCTCCTCTCAGTCAATCACTGATGTCCCCACCACCACCACCACCTCCTGCCATTTCATCCCTTTCTTCCACTGTAGCAAGAAGGTAGGGGTGCTATCTTGGGTAGCTGCCAATCTGATGAAGGACACACACACACACACACACACACACACACACACACACACACACACTAAGAAACAAGTCCAAAACTGTCCTAAGTTTGAGAGCTGTTAATAGCCAAGGACATGTGGGCCTCACTGTCAGATCTTGGGAAGCCTGGGTGTGGGTGGAGGAATGGGAAAGATAAGCACCCCAAACAGCCTGAGAAAAGAGGAGATGTGACTGAGTCTGGGTGGTTGGTGTGGCTTCTAATATGTGTGCAATTCACTATTACATATTTTACACAAACATGTCCCTATATCCTCTGGATTTCCTTCCCAATTCTCTGTCCTTGTGGGAAGAGCATAATTGATTTTCCATGTATCTTAGAGCACATTTCTCTTCGAGCCCGAGCTTCTTCTCCCTTAAAGCACTTAGCCAGGTGCCAATGGCTCTGGCCTGTAAATCCTAGCTACAAAGGAGGCTAAAAAGGGCAGGGGTGGGGGTGGGGAGTGACCAGAGAAGGTGGTCTCACAATCTGCTGCTCTCCAATTAGGGACTGACATCAATGCAGCTCTGCTGGCCGCTGCTTCAGTACTGAACCATAGTAACCAGGAGCCTGGAAAGGGCCCTAGTGTGGGGAGGATACCTCTTATCATGTTCCTGACAGATGGAGAGCCCACAGCTGGTGTGACAACTCCCAGTGTGATCCTCTCCAATGTCCGTCAGGCACTGGGACACAGGGTAGCCCTTTTCAGCTTGGCCTTTGGGGATGATGCAGATTTCCCTCTGCTTCGTCGCCTGTCCCTGGAGAATCGAGGAGCAGCCCGACGAATATATGAGGACGCAGATGCAGCTTTGCAGCTAGAGGGCCTCTATGAGGAAATCTCCATGCCTCTGCTGGCGGATGTGCGTCTGGACTACCTAGGTGGTTTGGTGGGGTCTTCTCCTTGGGCTCTATTCTCCAACTACTTTGGTGGCTCAGAACTCGTGGTAGCTGGCCAGGTGCAGCCAGGCAAGCAAGAGCTAGGCATCCACCTAGCAGCCCGTGGCCCCAAGGGTCAGCTGCTGGTGGCCCGTCACAGTGAAGAAGCCACCAACAACAGCCAGAAGGCTTTTGGTTGCTCAGGAGAGCCTGCCCTCAATGTGGCTGGCTTTATCCGCCGCCTCTGGGCCTATGTTACCATTGGAGAGCTGCTGGAGGCGCGCTTCCAAGCCCGTGACACCACCACTCGCAATCTGTTGGCTGCCAAAGCTCTCAACCTATCCCTTGAATACAACTTTGTCACACCTCTGACCTCACTGGTAATGGTGCACCTCAAGGAGGCCAGAGAGGAGGCCACAAGGCAGCCATCTATCACAGATGTACCAGGTACGGTCACACCCTCGTGTAAGAACAGCCATGATCTAGGAACAGGCCCAGCTCGACCAGCTTTGGTGCCCAAGGTCTCCCCCAAATCAAGACTTGTGAAACCAACCTTACCTACCACTGTCTCTGTGAAGAAGACTCTCAGTTCCAAGGAGGTGGAGCCATTGGGTCAGAGCTCTAATAGTCTATCAACATCAACACACTCAAAGCCCAAAACTGTAGCACAAGATTCTGGCACCTTTGCACAGTCAACTGTCAAGATAAAACCTGTTGCTCTCATGCCTACAAATTCTACTGCTCTGTTGCCACAAAAACCTACTGCTCCATCACAGCAGAATCCTTCTATTGTAGCACCCATGAATTCTAAGACCCAAATCCCACCTCTGAATCTTGGCATCCCAACCCAACCCAAAGCTGGCACTATGAAACAGCATTACAAGCCCGGTGCTACATCACAACCTAAATCAGATGCCCTAGCTCATCCCCATTCTGAGGTATTCATATCACAGTTCCCCAAACACACACCACAGCCCAGACCTACCTCCACACTTCAGATCTCTAAACCTTCACCACATACCAGACCTAAAGTTCCTGCTCCCAAGACCTCCAAAAATCCACCACACCCTAGACCTGGAATCCTCTTACCTAAGTCCCCTAAAATCCCTCCACTTTTTAAACCTAGCACTCCACCTCACCAGACTCCCACAAGTTTATCACTTTCTAAGCCTGGAACCCCAATCCCCCATACACCACAAATGCTGCTACCTCCTAGACCTGCCAGACCCAGGCCTCCCCCTCCTCAGAGCCTTAGCACATTCTCAAACACTGTCTTAAGCACCACAGGTTCTAGCAGTACCATGACCATCTCTGTTCTTGGAGAACCCCTCGCTACTCCTTTTACCCCCACTCTGCCTTCTTTGCTGCCCACTGGAAGGCTCTGGCATCAACAAGACCTGCTGATAGGACCTCAGAGCACCAGGCAAGTATTGAGTCCATCTGTGCCAAGTCTCTCAATAATAGCCCTACCCAACAGTTTTAGTCATCTGCCCAAAGACAGACTCCCCAATCCTGCCAATCTTGCTACCTTCCAGTACTCTCCCTGAAACCATCAGTCTGCTTCATCTCCCAGAAGAGCTAGAGCTTCTGTCTGAATCAATGATGGAGTCCAAGTTTGTGGAGTCCTTGAACCCGCCAGCTTTCTATACCTTCCTCACTCCTGATAAAAATGGTGAGTACCACAGGCAAAGGGACAAGCCATGGTGAGGAGTTCTGAATGAAGAACACCAGGTGCTGGGAGTCTAAAAGCCTGTGCAGATATGCTCAGTCCTTTCTTGTTTGTTTTGGGACTGTGGATTAGTTGCTTAACATCTCTGGATCTCAGTAGCTAGGTGCAGAATCAGAGGCCTTGGGAGATAAGACTGGGAAGGCTGAACAGAAATAAACAGGTCAGACAATAGTGTTGCCATTTGCTTTGTTGGACATGATGCTGATGATTCCCAAGCAGGAGAGGAACTTGGGAGTGTAAATTACAGTATCACTGGCCAAGGAAGCTTGGATTGGTTTTTCTGTGCTCTCTGAACAGCCCTGCTTACTATGAGAGAGGTGAAAATTTTGAAAGATAATGGTAATTACCTTTATTTTTATATTTATTATTATTATTGCCAGGCCTGGGGCTTGAACTCAGGGCCTGGGCACTGTCCCAGTGCTCTACCACTTGAGCCAGGGCACCACTTCTGGCTTTATATATATTTTTTTAATTGTAAAATACTTTACAGAGGGGTTGGACCCAGGACTTCATGCATCCTAGACAAGCACTCTACCACTAAGCCACATTCCTACCCCCCTTTATTATTTTTATTTCTTCTGATCTTTTGTAATTACATTCAAATGTCATAAAGATCATGAAATAACAGTTTTGAACTCTTCCTATAGTTAGTACTTTTCTATATCATGTACTCATAATCTTTTATTCAAGCTCCATAAGAAAACTATTGATATATGCATTTATAACTAAAACACAGAGAAGTAAAATAACTTCTACTATGTCACATGGCTACTTACATGGCTACTTAGAGATTTGAACCCATACAATCTGGTCCCAAAGTAAATGTACTGCACCACTCCACTATTCTGCCTTCCTTAGGGAACAAGTGAGGGTGCAGAGCACCACTGCATCTCATCCATGAAACTGTTCCACACTCCTCACTAGTGTCTCCATCTGTTGTCCTGTCCTGCTGCAAGCTGTTTTCTCTCTATAGCCAAAAGGGGTGTGTGTGTGTGTGTGTGTGTATGTGTGTGTGTATGTATGTAGGTGTGTGTGTGCCAGTGCCAGAGCTTGAACTCAGTGCCTGGATTTGAACTCAATGCTTAGGCAATGACCCTTAGCTTTTTCCCCCCAAAGCTGGTAATCTACCACTTGAGCCACACCTCCACTTCTGGCTTTATGCTAACTTTGGAGATAAGAGTCTCATGGAGATAAGAGTCTCATGGACTTTCCTACCTGTGCTGGCTTTGAACTGAAATCCTCAAATCTCTGCCTTCTGCGTAGCTGGGATTTGGAGCCACCAGTGCCCAGCTCTAAAAGATGTCTTTTAAAAGCATAAACTACTCATTGTCCCTTCCCTACTTAATCTCCCTCAAGGATTTCCCATCACACCTGTCATGAAGTCTAAAGTCCTTTTCATCACCCTGTAAGGCCCTGAATGAGATATTCCTATACCATTCTTGTCTAATCTTCCACCCTTGATCAATTTTCTGAACCCCAGCACCTCTAATCTCTCTACTATTCTTCCCATTGGTCATTCCTTGATGTTCATTCAGGGACATGTTTCAATCTACTTTCTCTGCTTGATAATCAATTGCCTTGCCTGCCTTGTCCTGCCTCTTCCTAGCACCTTCATCTCTTCCTTTGCCCCTAAAACTCCAGCTTGTGCTTTAGGTAAGATCGCCTTACTTACTCTCCCTTGAAGGCCACTTTAGACCTCTATTACTTCTTTAGTCTGTCTGCTAGTTCTTTTTTACAGCATTTATCATCATTGGTAATTATGAATGCCTGACTTCTTCACTGACCTATGAGCTTTACCAGGTGAGAAACTATCTGAGTGCTAGTGGTTGATACCTATAATCCTAGCTACTCAGGAAGCTGAGATCTGAGGACTGAAGTTCAAAACCATCTCAGGCAGAAAAGTCTGTGAGACTATTCTCCAATTAACAAGTAAAAAGTGAGAAGAAGAGGAAAGCGGAGGCTTGGCTGAAGTGGTAGAGCAGAGCGCCAGCCTTGAGTGAAAACTAACAAAGAAAAAGTGTAAGGTCTTGAATCCAAGCCCTAGTACTGGCACACCTCAAAAAAGAGAAAATGTCTGCATTTTTTACCACTATATCCTGGTGCTTAAGCAATGCCTGAATGACTACCTGAATGAGTCAGAGACTAAGAGTCTGGGATGAGCATAAGGTCCCAGTCCCAGAAAGAGGTAAGTCACTTTAGAAGCCAGGTAGGCCCTTTGGAGGGTACAAGGCATCTTTGCCATAGAGGGTGAACAATTCCACTTATTTATTTATTTATTTTTGTAATTGACAGGAAGTCCACATGGGGATGATAATTCTGAGGAGACTCTGGGAGTAGGTGAAGGCAGCATAGAATCACAGGAAAGTGTTGTGGAGCTAGCAAAAGGTGAGCAAAAAATTCCTCTACCCTGGCTGACTTTGAACCATGATCCTTAGATCTCAATCTCCTGAGTAGCTAGGATTATACATATAAGCCACTGACGCCTGGCAAAGTCACTTTTTTGATAGATCCACTAATTAAGCTGGCTTTTAAGGAGAGTTAGAAATTGATCCTTGCTAGAGGAAAGGAACACACTCCAGATGGCAGGAAAAACAGCAATAAAGGGTCACTAACAAGAGAAGGCAAGAGCCTGGCATGGTAGTTCATGCCAGTAATCCCAACATTCTGGAAGCTGTGACAGGAAGGCTGCAAGTTCAAAGCCAGCTTGGGCTATATAGTATCTCAAAAAGCCAAAACCAGTCAGTTCCACTGGGCTGGAGTATAAAGGAATGACTGAAGAAGTAGAGGTATGGTTCAAGTAGTTGAGGGCCAGCCTTAAGCAAAAAAAGCCAAGCAAGAGCATGAGGCCCTGAGTTCAAGCTCCAGTACTGGAATGAAAAAAAGAAAAAATTGAAAAGTAGAGCTAAATTCCAGAAAAGCCTTAAATACTGAATTCAAGAATTTGGACCTTGCCTGGAAGGAAGTGACTCAAAGATCTCAGGGTTGCTAGGAATGTGTTAGATCAGTCCCTCAACAACACAAGCCCTCTCTCCTTTGCAGGCACATTGCCAAGCATCTTTACCTTCTCATCTTCCGGTAAGCCAGCCATCTCCAGGACCCTCCTGCCTGAGTACAGGGACTGAGCTCTTCCTCTGCTCTTCCCTTTCTCTCTCCCTCTCCCTCTCCCTCTCCTTCTTCCTCTGCCTCCTCTCTCTCCCTCCTTCCCTCCCTCCCTCCCTCCCTTCTCTCCCCTCTCTCCCTCCCTCCTGAAATAGGCATGGCCTTCCCCTCCTTTCTCTTCCCTCTTCTCCCTGCTATTCATTCAAAGGACATAACTTCAAGAGTTACATCTCCTGCCTTACAGTGGATGGAGATCCCCATTTTGTGATCCACATCCCACACTCAGAAGACAAGATATGCTTTACAGTGGATGGGCGTCCAGGCGACCTACTGCAGCTCATAGAGGACCCAAAGGCAGGTGAGAACCCCAAGAGCTTCATCCACACACACATCAAAGATGGGTGTATTTGGCTGGGAATGTGGCTTAGTGGTAGAGTGCTCACCTAGCATGCATGAAGCTCTCTCTGGGTTTAACTCCTCGGTACCACATACTTAGAAAAAGCTAGAAATAGCCCTGTGGCTCAAGTAGTAGAGTGCTATCCTTGAGCAAAAGAGCCTCAGGGACAGTGTCCAGGCCCTGAGTTCAAGCCCTTAGACTGGCCAAAGAAAGACAGATGTATTCCTGTTAACAACTCAAGATATTTAGTAACTCAGTTACATGCAGTAACATACAAGAGTGCACAAAAAAACATGGACAAACACAAGGATAAGCATCGTGACAGACAGTAAATTCTTTTGGATTCCTATACCCACAGATATGGCAGCATGTACCCAGACACATAGTAACATGTAGCACATGTCAAAATAGAGGCAATGGCTTGCAAATCAACACACTCAGGCACACAAGCATTGATAGCCCCAGATGAATCCCAGTTTCCAGGAATTGAGCACACACAGGTAGCACACATTCTTTGCTGCTCTAGGCCTGAAAATCACTGGTGCACAGAAATGCCCACCTGCACACATACTGACACTCCATATGCATGGCAGTACATACAGCACACACCCTGACATCCACAACATACTCCATTGCACTAAGACATAGAACACTAACATGTCAAGAGGCACACATGAACACACCATCAAAAATACATACTCCAGCTGGGTGCTGGTGGCTTACACCTGTAATCTTAGTTACTTAGGAGGCTGAGATCTGGTGATCGTGGTTTGAAGCCAACCTGGGCAGGAAGGTCTATGAGTTTCTTATCTCCAATAAACTTTCAAAGAGTCAGAAGTGGAGCTGTACCTCAAGTGGTAGAGCAGTAGTTTTGAGCAAAAAAGCTCAGGGACAGTGTCCCAGCTTTGAGTTCAAGCCCCAGGACTGGTACTCTCTCAAAATACATACTTCAACATGTCACTTTCTTCACATATGCAAATGCACTAATGTACTTAGAAATGCTTATCTGAATATAGCCAAGCCACTCAAAGGCAAACACACACATACACATAGGAATAACCACACAAAAGTGAGTGCACACACACATACATGTCCTCGTCATTTTCACACATTGCTCAGGAAGGATTATGTCAGAAGCATTTTCTCAGAAACCAACCTACCAGTCACAAATCTGTACTGGCTCAACTAAACCGTGAGCCACAAGACTTCCCATCTCTGCCTATGTTGTGGTTGACCTGTACTCTGGGCCCACACTCTCACCTTCTAGGGCTACATGTGAGTGGGAAGCTGCTTGGGGCACCACCAAGACCAGGCCATGAGGACCAGACACGCACATACTTCCAGATCATCACAGTCACTACAGACAAGCCTCGGGCCTATACCATCACCATCACCCGCAGTTCCATATTTGTGAGAGGAGAAGGCACCTTGCACTTATCCTGGCACCAAACTGCCCTGGTGAAGAAGCCCAAGTTGGAGCTCCATGTGACTTCTGCTGCCCGTCTCACTCTCCGCCTTGGGCCCTACCTGGAATTCCTGATTCTCCGACACCACTACAGACAGCCCAGCAACTTGCAGCTACCCCACCTGGGGTTCTATGTGGTCAATGGCTCAGGCCTCAGTTCCTTGGCCCGTGGCCTGATGGGTAAGTGCTGTCCGGGCTAAGAGAAGCCAGAGATTACTAGCCTACCAGAGATCTTTGTCAGGGTGGAAGGGTAGATGCTCCTCCAGTACCTGGTACCCTCAGCTACAAAGAGGAAATCAGAACTAGGCTCTGAACTTAGGAAACTCCTGATCTGGGGAAAGGAATGAGCCAGACGTGGGTAGTGATCACAGGAAGTGATCTTTGTTAGATAAGAAGCAGCCCAGGAGGCTAGAAGACCTAAGGTTGGGATCTCTTTGAGCCTTGTAGTTAAAGAAAGACTTACCCATCTGTAAAGTTGAAAGGACTGGACAATGGAGGAGCTAGAACTAGTGATCAGAGATGATTGTCAGAATAAAGGCTTTGAATTTATCCTGAAGGCAAAAGGGAGTCATATATTATAAACTTCCCTCTAAATATTTATCCTTTTATGAAATGGAACCATAGAACTTCAGACTGTTGGTTAAAAGACACTGGCAGAATCTAGGAACAGCTGCCCATGCCAGAGTTTGGGAGCTGTGATAGTGGATCAAATAGTTTTCCCTCCTCTGGGCTCCTTCTATCTCTTCTTCCTTTCAATCTGCCTTATCTTCTCCTCCATTCCTGGATCTCCTCCTTCCTCTGCTATATGATCTGCCTTGGCCCTCTATTTCTAGCCTACACTCCTATCCCATGTGGCTTCTCAATGCTTCCCACGATGCCCACCCAGCCTTTTCCCTCCTCTGGGTCTTTACTGCCCCTGTACCCTCCTGCTTTTCCCTCTGGCTTTCCTCCTTAAGGCTCTTCCTTGAGCTCTGGGCAGGGAGTCTAGACACTGCCCTGACTGGCCACTACATCTTTCTTCTTCAGGGCAGTTCCAGCACATAGACATCCGCCTGATGACAGGGCCAAATGGACCTTACCTGAAGAGGCAACACAGCCCAGATGTGCCTGTGGTTCTAGGCAAAAGGCTGCTGAAGGACTCACCAAGACTCTTGCCTCGCTGGACTTCCTGCTGGCTGGTGATGCGTTCTCATGTAGAACAGTTGCTTGGCCAGCCCTACCTCGCCTATGTCCTGTGATGGGTCCTAAACTCCAGAGCCAGGAGAACTGAATTAGGGAGATCAAGGGGTTGGGGCATGAGCCAAAAGACAAAAAGACCTGGGGACATGGACACACATAAAGACATATATACCAGGACACGTAGAGTCATGCAGGCCTATAAACCTAGAATATTAGAGACTCTTGTCTTCTCAAGGCCTCTCCTATGTCCAGTGTTTACTCCATATTCCATATCATCACTGGAAGAGACATGGTTTAAAAAATGGATTGTGTCAGTAGACCTGCTGACAACTTTCTCTGACTCCCATGGTGTATTTAAGGGTCCTGGAGATGATCTAACAAGTCATATTCTGTCCAGCCACAGGATCTTTGCATGACTACTTCCTTCAGCATGACATTCTTCTTTTGCCCCATATGGGTAAATTTAGTTCATATTTTGAGGCTTAGTTAATTATCACCTACGCCTTCCTTGGCTCCTCACCTAGACTGAGTTTGGTCCCCTCCTCTTTGTCCCCTCTAGGCTCACAGCACTCATCATATGATGTTCCAATCATCTACTTACTCAACTACATCCCTAAGACTGTAAGCTCTGTCAGAGAAAGGACCTTTTCTGAATCATCTATGAAGCTCCACTGAGGCTTAGTAAATATTTACAAAATGAATAAATGAATGAATGAACAAAAATAGCCATAAATAGCAATAGACACACATATATACATTCAACCAATGACACAGGACACACAAAGAAAGACAGCAAGAAAGACTCACACATAGAAACATAAAGATAGAGAAGGAAACACAAAGCACAGAAAATTCAAAGAAATATGGTCATAAGTACACAAAGACACTCAATTAAGGAGACAGGGTCCAAAATAACAGCACCAAAGACATAAACCTAGACAAACAGAAACATGCTCTTTTGTTGGACCTCCACACTCCTATGGTCTTGATTGACTGCCCCAGTCACAAAATGGAAAGGAAACAAAAACAAGGTAACTCAGAAACAAACAGAATAAGTAATATAATGGCACTGAAACCTCCAGGAACCAATGGCCCACGCCTGTAATCCTAGCTACTCAGAAGGCTGAGATCTGAGGATCAAGATTTGAAGGCAGCCCAGGCAGGAAAGTCCACACTTATCTCCAATTAACTACCAAAAGACCTAGAAGTGGAGCTGTGGTTCAAGTGATAGTGTTAGCCTTGAGTGAAAAGGCTCTGGGACAGATCCTAGATCCAAGACCTGAACAAAAATGGACACTGATATAAAGCAACATAGAAACTAAGAGATAACATCACACAGAGATCCAGATTCAGGAGCAGAGATGAAGACACCAAAGATATAGGGACACAAAAGCAACCAGGGAGAGACCGGTCAGAACCATAGTCTAAAACTCCAACCAAGGGTAGAAAGGCAGAAACACTGACATTCTGAATTGCAGACATGGGGAGAGATGAGAGAATATAAAGAAACAATGCCAGAGACATACAAAGTGTACAAGTAGGCAGTACAAAGATCTGAACTTGGTGTCAGAGATTTAGACACAGAGGTATGCACAAAGGAACATATTAAGAATGAAGCAAAGCTGGATGCCAGTGGCTCACACCTATAATTCTAGCCACTAAGGAGGCTGAGCCTGGGCAGAAAAAAGCCATGAGACTCTTATCTCCAGGAAACTACAAAAAAGGCAGAAGTAGAGCTGTGGCTTAAGTGGTAGAGTGCTAGCCTTGAGCAAAAAAGCTCAGTTCAAGCCTGAGGATCAGCACACTCACACAAATGAGTGAGGCAAGATCACAAAGACAAGGAGTCCTAGACACCTAAATAGTGGCAAGCACCATTAAACAGATAGAAATTGGACTAGATAATGCAGACATAAAGATAGACAAGGTGAGACCCAAGTATAGTGGTGACATTTTGACATAGTGAAAGGAAGGGTTATAAGTTGGCTCAGTGGTAGAGTGCTTGCCTCACATGAATGAGGCCCTGGGTTTGATTCCTCAGCACCACATAAGCAGAAAAAATCCAGAAGTGGCGCTGTGGCTCAAGTGGTAGAGCACTAGCCTTGAGCTGAAGAGCTGAGGGACAGCGCCCAGGCGGAGAGTTCAGGCCCCACAACTGACAAAAAAAAAAAAAAATTCAAAACCAGAGATACAGGTTAGATTCTGGACAGAAACACAGAAGAGTTTGAAAAAATAGACATAGGGACAAAGAAATCTAAACATACAAAATATACCCAAATGAGCAGAACAGTGGCAAAAGAAAACACTATCCAGAGAGATAAGAGTACAAGGACACAGAATCAAGATAAATCCCAGACCAGAAACAGTGACACACAAATAGGCAATCAAAGCTACAAATGAAGGGATAAGGCCAGTAAATTCATCCCAAGAACATAAATATAGTTGCTCACAGATTAATAAGCATGAATCCAGACACTAGACACAAACAGAGAGGCAGGGACACAGAGGTGATGAGTCAGATCAAAACAAAACTAGGGACAGAATGAGATAGAAAGAGAAACAGTTCCAGAGCAATACCCAGACAAATAAACCCAGAGAATCGAGTCCTCACAGTTGTGGGGATTCGGAGAAAAAGACCTAGGACTAAGAGAGACATCAATAGTAAAAATCATTTGACATATCCACAGTAACATGAAGAAACAATAATACACAGACATTGACAAAATATGAGATAAATTGGCTGAAAAGAGGACAGATACCAAAACACAGACAGAGACATGGACATGGAGAACAAAGCTGTAGGAATGCATAGGCTCAGTGACTAATCAAAATTGAGCAAATGGAATGAAAAATATGCAGACCCCCTAAGCAACACAGAGGCTTGGAGACTCCTAGACATGAATATATAGAGAATCAGAAACGCACACATGCTATATTACAAAGTTTCAGAGACACACGAAAACTTAGAGATGCTCAGAGACAGGAACAAATATAAAGTATAATACCAAGTTTTATGAGCACTTAGACACAAAAACCTATAGCCAGCAAGTCACAGGTAAATATACAGGACATGTGAAGATTCAGGGACACACAGGATAATATACAAAAGTTCAAGGACACACAAACATTCATGAACATGGAGAGTTGGGGATATGAAAAGAATCACATACAGGTAAATAATCAGAAATTGACACCAAAAGCCCACAGTTATGTATTGAAAAAAGTGACTCTCTCACTTTCTCTCTAACACATAAGTTCACTGAATGACCAGCCACTGAGACACAGATCTGTGGACACACAGAGACAGGGAACATGGACACACTAGACAGAACAAAGGCTCATGGACATTCAAGGACAAGAATGCATAGACACTAAAACACACAGATAAGAGACACAGAGTCAAGGACAGAAATAAAGAATCAGCGACTTAGGGATACCCAGAGATAGGGATATACAGACAATGAAACACAGAGACAAGCTGGGCACCAGTGGCTCACGCCTGTAATCCTAGCTACTCAGGAGGCTGAGATCTGAGGATCATGGTTCAAAGCCAACCCAGGCAGGAAAGTCTGTGAGACTCTTATCTCCAATAAACCACTAGAAAACCAGAAGTGGCACTGTGGCTCAAGCGGTAGAGTGCTTGCCTTGAGCTGAAGAGCGCAGGGACAGTGCCCAAGCCCAGAGTTCAAGCCCCACAACCGACCAAAAAAAAAAAGAAAAGAAAAAGAAACACAGAGACAAGTAGGATTTATGATATAAAGAATGGGACACAAGGACTAAAGGCATGGCTCGAGTGATAGAGCTCTTGCCTACCATATATAAGGGCCTGGGTGGGTTGGATCCCCAGTACCACAAAACAAGAAGAATGAAAAAATGAAATTCAGACTTCCACAGAACCCAAAAGATACGGATACTGGGCCAAAATAAACAATACAACCACAATCACTACAACATAGTAACACTGGGACACATAAATATCTTGGGAAAATAAATTATGTAGACACTGGATCCCAGCCAGACTTTGCCATTCACATACTAAGATTCATAGCCAATAGAAAACATAGGCAGATACTAGAGCACACAGACACACTGGCTGGACAAATACTTAACACACAGACATCATAACAGTTGTCAGACACTGGCACACACTGAGACATTGGCACACATAGACATTGGTACATAGGCACAGGGACACACAGACACTGAGATATACAAACAGAGGGACCCATACTACCTGTGACACATATGCCACTGGAACACAACAAACTACAGCACAGAAACAGAAGCATACAAAAGGGAAAGGACAGCCAGGCCCTGGTGGCTCACACCTATAATCCTAACTATTTAGGAGGCTGAGATCTGAGGATTACACCGAGTAAAAAAGTTCATGAGACCTTATCTCCAATTAATCAGCAAAAAGCTGAAAGTGAAGCTGTGTCTCCAGTGGTAGAGTACTAGCCTTGAGTAAAAAAGCTAAGGGAAAGTACCTTGGTCCTGATTTAAGTCCCAATACCAACACACACACACACACACACACACACACACACACACACACAGCATTTGAGGTCAAAAATACAGCAACATGCTAACACTAGAACAAATAGACACTGAGGCACATGGACACAGGAATAGTGATACATAGAGATGATGAGATTCACAAACAAGCAAACAGGGATATACAAACACTGAGATTGCTGGAACTGATATACGTAAAAGCAGGACACATATTCTGGGGCATACCATCAATGAGGTAGACACATGCAGGCATGGAATGCCATAGAACTAGATCATGAAGACATTGTGACACATGGATACAGACGTGCAAAGAAATGGCTAAAACAGAGAGAATCAACAGAATGTTGAAAAGGGTGATGACATGGATCAAGATGCACTTTATTTATAAACTGGTTTGTTGAATGGCAACTCCTTTGTGAAAACACTGAAAGGTAGTACACACCCACACACACACACACACACACACACATATATATATATAAATGAACAGAGCATTATGTACTGGTAGCTCATGCCTGTAATCTTGGCTACTCAGGAGGCTGAGATC